TCAGTGAACGAATCTTTTGAACGAATCACTTTACTGAACTGATTCTACTGATTCAGTACACTGAAAAGAACTGCTTTTCACATCACTACTTTCAGCCTCATGCACTCAAACACTTTATTATCTTTATCAGGTGACGTCAGACGAGAGCTCAACGGTCAACGTCCCTGCGTCACCGGAACGTCACAACGTGTGTAACGTTTTTTTCTTTCTTTCTTTTTCTATTCTTTGTTTTAATTATTAGAATTTTTAAACTGAATTAAAAATGTTATTTTAATCTGTTGTTGAGCTACCAACAAAAATATCACAGTCAATAATTTACATTTATTTTTTTTTTTTATTAAAGATAATAGATAAAGATAAACTTTATTGATCCCCCATGGGGGAAATTTTTGTATTACAGTAGCTCAAGAAAACAGGAAAAAGGAATAAAATTATTAAAAATAAAACATATGTACATCAGTTAAATAAAGGCAAAAAAAATACAATAATAATACAAGGTATGTATACTTCCACTTGTGGAAAGACTTATTATTAAAAATACACACAGTGTGTAGCATTGTTGAAATGAGTCATGAGGTGGTGATGCTGTTAAAGAGTCTGATTAAACAGTCTGACTTCAGATGGGATGAACGACCTGCGGTAGCGCTCTGTCATGCAGGGTGGGTGTCTGAGTCTGCTGCTGAAGGAGCTGCTCAGGGTCCCCACAGGGCCCCACAGGGCCCCCACAGTGACATGCAGGGGGTGAGAGGGGTTGTCCACTCTTGTTCTTAAGAGTGTCAATTAAATTATGACTTTTATGATTATTGTTACATGTTTCCTTCAACCATTATCTTTTCATTGACTGTAAATATTACTGGTGTGTCTGATTGTTTGTACATCTCTATAATTCAATAAAAGTAAACATTTTCTATATAAACATTCAGATATGATTCAAAAAACTAGAGGAAAGAAACAAGATAATAAACTTTGTTTAATTTACAGTTTGAAGTTTGTGGTTTTTTAGCATCATGATTGAATTCTTAAAATGTATTTCCAAAGGCTCAGTGCCTTGCTCAAGGGCACCTCGACAGCTACCTTACCAACTTTTCCGTTTTAACCCTAACCCACTTTCATAATAAATTAAGTGTACTAATTAAACCGTTCAGAGAAATGTGTAAAATTATCAAGTTTAAAATGAGCTCCTCTAAATCTCCACAGTAAAGTTCTCACAAATGTGAGGTGCATATCTTATGAGAGAATATTTGTTCAATGAAACTAAATGATTTGTCTCTGGCACAGTTTAAATACTTCTCAGACTAGCAGTGATATAAGATTTATTTAAAAAACTCATCTGATGAACTCAGTGAGAAGAAGGTCCCTGGTGACATCAAAATGCAGCAAACAAAACATCCCAAAACCCTAAGAGCCCAAAAGTCTATGAAACATTGAAATATGCAACTTTTATTTCTACCTACAGGGCTATAAAGTGTTCCAGATACTGTTTGATTCTAATAGAGGTCAAACATTTGTATGAATCAAAAAGATAAGCCAACACCTGAGCTCACTTGCTCATCCTCTACTCAATTATAAAAATAATGAAATGACCAAGTGACAGTTAGAAGCAATTTTTATTAGTCATGACCAACATCTGTTAGAGGCATGAAGTCTGGAGATTAAAATAAAACAAGAGCTTAGCTTTCAACCAAATGGCCAACATGAGGATTTAAAGCTTTCAGAAAAACATTTCTTTGAACCACACAAACATATCCCGTCTTCACATATTACCGTTTGTGTTCTCTTCCCGGTTCTGTCTTCTTATACTGAACACATCAAAATTACTTGAAATCCAGATGTAGAAGCCAAAGCATCAGAATGCAAAAGTGAAATGATAAAAAAAGTCACTGAAAGCAAAAGTCAGGAATGCTCATCCTTTATTGAAACTTAAAAAAATAAAGGAATGACTAACAGCTGGATCAGAGGGAGCTGTTTCAGGAAAACATGGCGGCTTCGTGCAGAGGTTGATTAGTTTCCTCCCCTCAGACGGAGCACAAGTGGAGGGTGGACTCCTTCTGGATGTTGTAGTCGGAGAGGGTGCGGCCATCTTCCAGCTGCTTGCCAGCAAAGATCAGACGCTGCTGATCGGGGGGGATTCCTTCTTTATCCTGGATCTTGGCCTTGACGTTCTCAATGGTGTCGCTGGGCTCCACCTCCAGGGTGATGGTCTTGCCAGTCAGGGTCTTAACAAAGATCTGCATGCCTCCCCTCAGACGAAGAACCAGATGGAGAGTGGATTCTTTCTGGATGTTGTAGTCGGAGAGGGTGCGGCCATCTTCCAGCTGCTTGCCGGCGAAGATCAGACGCTGCTGATCGGGGGGGATACCCTCTTTATCCTGGATCTTGGCCTTCACGTTCTCAATGGTGTCGCTGGGCTCCACCTCCAGGGTGATGGTCTTGCCAGTCAGGGTCTTAACAAAGATCTGCATACCTCCCCTCAGACGGAGCACAAGGTGGAGGGTGGACTCCTTCTGGATGTTGTAGTCGGAGAGGGTGCGGCCATCTTCCAGCTGCTTGCCAGCAAAGATCAGACGCTGCTGATCGGGGGGGATCCCTTCCTTATCCTGGATCTTGGCCTTGACATTTTCAATTGTGTCACTTGGCTCCACCTCCAAAGTGATGGTCTTCCCGGTTAGGGTCTTCACAAAGATCTGCATCTTGACACTTTAAAAAGAAAGCAAAATAAATCAAATCAAAAGGAAACTAAGACATTTCTCAGTTCTACACTTTCATGTCGGCCTGTACATTAAAACTCCATTACAGTTATTCAAACTAATATTCAGAGGCCTTCACCACACTTCGATCTGATATTCAACTCCGTATTAAATGTTAGGATTAACTGGTGTACAAGAGAGTGATTCTGTCTGACCCTGTGTCTCCGGTTTGATGGCAAATGTACTGTTCAGGGTGTGGTTAGGAGTCAGTGAACTGCGTCACCACAACCAGTCACAAAGTATTTATGAATGTATCTGTTGTTTTACAGAAAGATTTGAAAACTGCAAAGCATGTTCATCATAAAGCCCAGGATGAAGACAAAGTTAATGTCCTCACAGAGGGGAGGGAAATGAAACTATCCAAGTCCTTTGACGATAAATGCCTGGTCATAGTCGGTGGATAAGCAGACATTTTGGTTTTCATATTGTAATACACTGCTAGTCTTTTTACCAACATAAATGAATAAACATTATGTCACTTTATCTTCTCATTCTCTGCACATACTGTCTCAACTCCCTGCATAGTTAACTTCATTCATTTTGTTCTTGGACATACCCCCTATTTTTATTCATCTTATCTGTTTCATGTGTATTTTGAGCTTACTTGTCTGTGCTGCCCAAATTTCCCCTCAGAGGATTTAATGAAGTTTGATCCTATCCTAAACAGACTCCAAACACTAACATCTACGTCTCTGACCAGTTGACTTGGTAATGTAGTTGTAGTTGAATGCTTTGTGGTGAAACAATAGACCCAGTTGCCACAGCTTGCTAGAAGCACCGCATTATTATTGCGTTTCATGTTAAAAGAGTTAAACCAGATGTTTCCCTTTTATGGCTCTGCCGGTGTTATGCCGAGAATTGTACACCCACCTTCCGGCACAATGCACAATATGACAATTTCTACACTAACAAAGCACCACAAGTTACTGGAAATAAATCAGCAGAATAATAAGACACTTCACTTAAGCATATATTCACATATTTTGTCATTTGAGATAGATTTATAGCGTTTTCTAGCACTTCCGCGAGGTACATTTTTGGCAGGGATGCATTTCTCGGCGTAACACCTGTTCCGGTGAAACAACCGATAAAGCTAACAAGCTAATGTTGCTAAGGTAACCGGATGCAGCTCGACAGTGACGACGTTTGGTTTGATTCTGGCGTTAACACGTCAATTAAATAAAAGCTACCTTTGTACATCTTTGAATTGTGAATATTTCCTTTTAATTTATTGGATTTACTGAATTAAGATGAATTCTGAGTAACGTCTTTTGAGGGCTAGGCCGCGGCTAGCAAAGATAGCTACCAAAACAGCTGACGCAACTACCAAATTAGGAGATTCACTCGTTAGCAAAAGCTCATTTTACGCCGGTTACACACAGAATAAAAACATAACTACACATATAGAATAACCTTTCCTTTAGTTCCGTATTTTAGAGTAAAGAATACTTACAGGCAAATGATTCCAACAGGCAAAGTGAAACTCTCGTTTCCTGTTCCAGACGGACTGTAACAAACAAAGAGCGGCGGAGGGACTTTTATAGACAACGGCTCAAATATCCCTCCGCTGTCACACCCGGTGGAACTATAAAATGTATTGTTTTCTAAAAATCAAACGACTGATGATTTTAACTATTTAGTTGGACTTCCTCCGTAAAGAAATACTTTTATATTTTCGTTGGTGAGGGGAGAAGGCGTTTTAGAGAAAATGAAGAGTTAAATATAACGACCCTTTACAGCCTGCGCGGATGTAGACATGACATTCGAGTGATGCGACGCCCTAGGAAAACAGGAAACATAAACAAATGATTAGTTTTTTGTTGTTCTTTATTTAGTATTTTCTATTTAAAAAAAAACAAAAAACATTTAAACTGTTGAACATTTCATAAATAAATCCAATCAGCATATGACTAAATAAAAATACAACTACCAAACTCACCAGAAAACTACAATACTTGGGCTATAAGACTTGTAATAAAAGTAAAATTCACTCTGGGGACTTTAAACAATGTAAAACTAAAGTAATGAAGAGAAGGGAGGCACTTCTTTTATCAACTTCTTTAAACACCTAAAAAAATATTTTCAAGTTGTTTTTAAATGCTACAAAATTTGAAGTAACTTTAAAAAAGCTAAATTTATGAATATAGAATTTTCCTATGATCAAAATTTTATGAGGCTACAGAAAACTTCAACCAATTTGTTCTGCATAAACACACCAAACTTCACCATATGATTCTCAAAAACATTATATCAATTGTATTTATTTACAGTTGACGACCATTTCTATAAAGCTGTAATACTGAGTCGACCAAAGCCCACAACTTTCTTCAACTTCCTTCAACATGATTTAGAAAATATATAAACAAGAATTTATGTCCTCCGCTGTCTGTGATCTTTTGGGGCAAGAAGACAAATTCTTATTTTGTCTTTTAATATGTGATTCTCAGCGTCCTGCAGGACTGTAACACCTCGAGGTCCATGTGTCTGTTCACTATTTCAGTCTAAACTTCTCACCTATTAAACATCTGCTCAGTGATGTTATCTCTCTTTTCCCCTAGCAAGACTATAAATTAAACTTTCATCATATTTTCTAATTGTAACATTGTCTTATTATAATGTTTAACTTATAAAATAAATAAATAAACTCGTCAGTTCATGTCACTGATTCTTGGCCCATTATTACTTCCCCTGCAGAGCCAATAAAACGTGATTACCTCTGTGTCAATACGTTCACTTCGTGCCGGTTTGCACACAGATCTTATAGATTTAGATGACCCTTTGACCTTTCCCCTTGCATCGAGTCAGGTATAAGTGTTCAAACAAGCAGGATCGTGTGATTCATTATTCATTAAGTGAACTAATATTTGAAGGATCCAACACAAAGAAAAGTATTGATTTCAGTTACCCTGTGCTTATTACCATTCTGTCATTAACCAATACAGCACAGTCTGCAGAAATGACTGAGGGGAGACATTCTCTGCTTCCTCTTTTTTGTTTGATTTCAGATAATCACTAACATCATTTTAGCTGAAGTGCATATTATCTGCAACAAGGTGCAAGACTTAAAAATGATTGTTTTGGCATTTCACTGCTTTGACAAAATATACAGTTTTCAAAACACAAGCAAAGTTAAACAAAGTAAGAGTAGCTCTTGTTTAGTGTTTGAATGTGGAGAGAAGCTATCTGCACCTTTACTCTGCACGGAGCTGCACTCTCTCAGGCTAACGGAGCTCACTTCTGTCCACATTAAGATGATGAAAAACTTTTGACACTTTATCAAGAGGACACACTCTTAAACATGAGTTTCAACGTTTCAAACAAAGCATCCTCCCTAAATGGAGTGAGAAAGGTGCGACTCAAAGACAATAACAACACTCACATCGTTGCCATGGAAATGGCTCCAGAGCAGACGCTCATATTTCTACTCTAGTTGCGTGTGGCTGTTGGTGCAGGTGTGTGTGAATCCAACATTTCTTTCACTGAGGATGATTTGCACAGAAGAGGGATAAAAATCTGCAGGGCTGAAACACATTGATTCAAAAAGCTGCTGTTTATCTTTCTTATTAAAAGTTGAAAAGTTAAATGTCTCATTTAAAGATGCTCAAACAGCAGCAGAACACAGAGACGTCGTTTGCTCTGCAGCGCCATCAGGGGAGCATTGAACCCTTTAGGTGACTCTTGTGATGAGACGGTGTCTTTTTGATTCATTTTCACAGTTTTAGATGAAAATCTGTGCTATAATTTTGTGAATCAGGCCCTCAGTCTTTTGTACATGGTTTATATTGATGTTTGCAGCTCGCCCACAGATGTACGGATAACCACCTCTGGATTATTTTGGTTTATGTGATGAACTGGACTACTTTTTACAACCTTCAAGTTTGACGGGTACTCCGGCTTCCTCCCACAGTCCAAAGACATGCTTGTTAGGTTCACTGCTGACTCTAAATTGCCCAAAAGTGTGAATGTGAGTGTGTCTGGTTGTTTGTCTCTATATGTCAGCCCTGTGATTGGTTGGAGAACAGTCCAGGGTGTGACCCCGCCTCTCGTCCAATGACAGCTCCCGAACATGAAACGCAGTATAGATAATGGCTGAAAGTTTTAAGCTGAAAGGATCCGATTTTATCCATTAATTCATTGTAACATTGTAGATAATACCATCCTCTATAAAATGTAAATCAAAGAGGATCATAAAGATGAGCATCGTTTCTGTGTGTTCGGGTTCGAAGGAGGCAGAGCTGTGACTCCAGAAAGGAACGTAATTTTTGGCCATGTGCTGTTATCCAACGTTTAGAGCTTCAGTGTGTCTCACTCTCCCTCAGGTTGCCGTCTTATCACCACTGACTGTTAAAACCAATGAGCTGAGCTGTAATAGACCCACTAAAGCTTACAACCCTCTTTATTACAGCAGCAACTTTTGCACAATAAACCAAATGCTCCAAAACATCTCCCAACAGCAACTCTCTAATAAATTTATTGGCAAATATTTGCTGCATCTGTCGTCTCAGCGGTGTAAAGTTTTGACCCACGCTGTTAGCTGCTGATAATATGAACCATCTCCTCGTGCTGCTGCTGCCATTATGTCGGCATAATTAGCTCTAACTAAATGCCTTAAATGCAGATATAAATGTAATGTATTTGTGTCTCTGTGCTTCATTAAACTTGTGTGGGTAGCACTCGGCTCCCTCCGAGGTTTGAACATCATCAAGCATCTGGTTAAAAGCTTCTCAACAGTTGAATTCAGCGCAGCAGGAGAGCCTCTGGATATTGCTATCATGGCAGGAAGCATTATGTTCTTATTAGCATTCGGGATGGCAACAGAAGGAATCATTAGGACATTAAAACGGGTTGGCGGTGGAGGGAAATGCTGCAGGGCAGGATTTGCCTCCCACCCATCAGGAAAGATTTGCAAAACAACGGCCGCTCGGTCCAGAAATAAAAAGTTTCCCGTCAAAGTGAAGAGAAGCCAAAAAAAAGTGAGTGTGATACTTCACATTTTCAGTCGATTTAAATCTTTTTTAAGTTGCTCGTGTTGGAAGAGCTGACGGTTTCCCAACCCGGGGCTCCGTACCCTCAGCAGGGGTCGCAAGATAACAAAACAGGAAACAAATTAAACACATTTTCATTCTTCATTATTTAAGGTTACCACCTGGCTCAGGGTTTGTAACAAACACAGATCACAAAGTCAAAATGATCTTTATTTAATTGAAATAATCGAGTATATTAAATAACTAAAATGTGAGTGTGAAGAATCAGCAAACCCAACAAAGGAAAAGGCTGAGGGGGGTCGCAGCAGAGGCCAGCTGAGAGAGAATCAGGATCTCAATCAGGCACACCTAAAAGCCTTTCTGGGTCCGACTCAGCCTAGCAGGTTTCAGCTGGAGACCCTCCCAGCTCCACCCACAAGCCAACTCCAACCAGACTGAGACAGGCAGAATGAGAGCAAGAGGGAGGGGGTCCTCACAACACCCTGGAATATTTTCAGCTCTGCAAATGAACAGTGGAAACATAAATCAATAGAGGCTGCATACATCTGCTGTTATGACCCGGCTCGTGTGGGGAAACCAGGTGGCGTTGGTAAATTAAAGTTTTAATTACAAAAGAAGTAAAATGGTGACACGACAATAAAAAGGTGAAGACATCTGAAAACCAAACTAATTAACACTTATTAACCAAAACAAACAGCACCCATAACCTCGTGTTTTTTTTAACTTAACTTACCTGTCTCGTTTTGGACGCCCCTCAGTTTGTCAGATATGAGAGCAGTTATCAGGTCAACAGGTGTTGCAGTGATGGAAGCGGTCAAGAGAAGTGGTTCAGATAGAAGTGATTGTACCCGACCTAAAAAGCCTCTGCATGTTTCTAATAAGCTCCACGAGCAGAAACGTGCTCAAACTAGGATCAATATTGGAGATGCTTTTGAAAAATGGAGAGAGGTTAGAACACAGAAAGGTTTACAGACCCATGCAGAGCTGGATAAACACTGAAGCTTCAGAGTCCACCACATGGTGACCTGAGTGAGAGGGGGGGGAGACAGCTCTCTATGATGTTTAGAATTTAGACTGCAGTACTCATTTTAAACACTAGGTGTCAGAGTTACATACTGCTCCTTTAAAACTTCCATGCGATGATCATGATGTAGAAATAATCAAACAGAACTCGACATTTAAAAAGTGTTTTGTACTTTTTATTGAAGTTTTACGTCTTTATTTTGGGAAACTGTTAACATTTGTCTTCTCATAATGAAAATGTACATTTATCAATTTTCATAAAACGTCACATATACAGTACATCAAAATAAATACATCATCTGGTGGGGGGTTGATTGATCGGTCTGTTAACTACAGCTACTCTATTCACATTTCAACCTCCACATCTGCAACAGTGCATGTTTTTTTTCAGTTTCCTGTTTTCGATCATCAGCCGGGCGCGGACCTGGGGGACCCCTGAGGCCGCTCTGACAGTCATCACTTGAACTACACGTGAGAAATAAGACCCCAGCACCTCCCCGGCCTGAGAGTCAGAGGTTTTAAAAACCATTAAACTACAGCTAACACCAGAGCTGGACTGGCTGCAGATGAAAAAACCTCCAAGGTGACCGCGGGCGGGGCGGCGGGGGGGGGGGGGGGTTCAGGGACAGGAGACAGCACCACATCCTGTGTCAGACTAGTTATCAAAGCCACCCTCCGTTATTTCCTCGCTGTTTTTATCATTTTAAAGCGACAGGTGGTGACCCCCCTCCTCTCTACCTCAACGTGTCCCCAAGAAACCCAAAAGTTTTATCCCCTTAAGATTTCAGTCCAGATTATTTGGATACTGAATACCATGGCAACAGAGAGAGGGGCATTTCTGCTTGTTCAGACGAGGGTCGTCATGACAACAGAATGTTAAAATTCAAATACCATTTAAATCAGACGCTATCAAGACCTTGTGACAAAACCACGGCAACAAAAATAGAAGTCTAAAGGAAACCCAATATTGGGCCATTCCTTGAGTTTCCATCCAGCCCGTTTTCTTCCTCTTATCCGAGCTCCAAGCGAGATTTTCCAGCTCCTCCTCCTATTGGATCCCGAGGCGTTCCCAGGCCAGGCCAGACAGGATATCTAATCCCTCCAGTGAACTCTGGATCTACCCCGGGGTCTCCTCCCAGTTGGGCATGCCAGGAAAACCTCCAAAGGGAGGCGACCAGGAGGATCCTGATCAGATACCTGAACCACCTCATTTGGCTCCAAGCTCCCCCTGAATGTCTAAGCTCCTCCCCTTGAATGTCTAAGCTCCTCCCCCTCTCTCATAGGCTGAGCCCAGACACCCTCCAGAGGAAACTCATTTCAGACGCTTGTATCAGCACTCTTATTCTTTTGGTCACTACCCAAAGCTCATGACCCCGAGTTACTAAAACTCCTCCTCCACTTGGGGACAAAGACCCGCTCCCCACCTGGAGGGGCAGTCCACCATTTTCTTGCACACTGTCTCTAAATTGTACAAACACGTTGGACCATAACTCAAAACCTTTTCTTTGTCTTTAAGTGTTTAAAGCAGCAGCAGTTGAAGATGTTGTGTGAAACTAAATCCAGCTCTGAAAGAACAGCAAACATGGAAGTACGGGGCGCCTCCTGTGAGTCCTGTGTGTGTGTGTTAAGACGTTTTAATCCAGCACAGGAGGGGGGGGGGTGCACTGCTGCTGCTAACCATGAGAAAACAGCCGTCAGTAGTATCAAACATGGAGTCTGAATCTAAACGATCGCAGCCTTTATTCTCCCTCCTGCTCTGACACATGTTTCAGGACTTTTTGCTTTAATTCCTTTGAAAAAAAAATACAAAAAAAAGAGCTTTGAGGTCCCGATCCCTCCTGTTTCCTGTCCCCTAACTCCTCCCCCCTTCTCCCCTCCTTCACTTCTTTTTCACATTTCACACCAAACATCTCCACGTCTCTCACCACGTTTGATGATCTTTGGGTCTTTTTTTATTCTCCTCTGTCCTCCATCTCCAATCATCTCCCAGCGACACTGATCCACAAACACGGACTCTTCTGTCTCCTCCCACTTCCTGTTTTCTCTCTCCGATTTATCATCATCACGCCATGAGACTTGTCCGGCCAAAAGGAGGAGAGAACAGGATGGATCACGGCGTCTCCCGGGCAGAAGGGGCTGGACATCATCTGTTTGTATTTACAACGCCTCCTCCTGGACGGAGAAGGAGGGAGGAGGAGGGGGGCGAGGAGTCGGGAGGGGGGGGCGGTCAGTCCTGGTTTAGAAATGTCTTTAAGTGAAGTTTTCTCATATCGATACTTCATATTCCCGAGTGTCCTGCTGCAACATGTGAGAAAAGACAGGGGGCGCTGTTAGCATCGCATATGCAGCGTGTGATTGGAGAATGAGCTGTGATGTCACTCACCCCTCCCGTCTCGTACAGCGGGTTGTCGAACTCGGTCTCCACAGTGATCTGTCGGTACGGGTGAGGGTAGATCAGAGGAAGCCTTAAGTTGGAGTGATACCGACATCTGACACACGGGAGGAGAGAAACAAGACGCAGTTAAAACAATTTCAAAAAAATATTTTGTTAATTCTTATGAGCAAATGTTCCCATGTTCAGGAATTTAACCCTTTAAATGCCAGAATCATGTAATCAAACTGGCATTTAAAGGGTTAAATTCCTGATAATTATTCAATATTTTATATTTTTGAGATTTATGGGAAAAAAAATAGAAAAAAATATCAATCTGTTCTATTTTTATAGCAGTTTTTGTAAATTGGACATTTTTGCCCTCCAGTGTCCAAACAGGGAACTACATTTTAAATCTGATGCTACACAAAAACTAACAATGCATCAAAGTCAATATTTTGGATAATCTTTGACATATACAAGACTGATTTATCATTTTATAATAACTGTTTTTTTTTTCTTAAATAACAACAGTGACATCATGTAATCAAACTGGCATTTAAAGGGTTAAATTCCTAAAAATGATTGAATGTTTGGTAGTTTTGAGCAGGGCTGAAGTTGTTTAAGAGATTTATGCAGAAAAAAGTAGAAACAAATAACAATCTGTTCTATTTTTAGATCAGTTTTTTGGAAGTGGACATTTTTGTCCTTGGGGACTTAAGAGGGGAGTAAATTAAACTGATGCCTGAGGGTTAAGACCTAGTACATGTACGATGGATGCAGTATGCCCAAATACCAGGATGTCCAATGACAGCCTGTCGCATTTTGCAAACTGGCTGAGAGAAATATGCAACATGCTAACAAAGTTCTGTAGAGCGATAAACAATAAAAATGTTAGAGAGCAGAGCTTCTTCATGTATTTGCTGTTCTTAGTTTCATCAATGTTTCTACTGAATCTAAAATTAAATTGGCACCAACTAATCGGAGGAGCAGACAGTTAGCTTTAGCGTCATGTGGCTGCATCAACATGACCATCATGAGCGAGGCCTCCATCAAACAGGTGACAACGAGCAGCCAGATATCTCACCGTGTGACGTAGACGTAAACTCCTCCGAGCAGCACGGAGAGAAGAAGAACCAGGATGAAGATGGCGAGCGCTATGTTCCCTCCGTCCAGAGTGGAGCCTGCAGTCGCCTCGGCAACTGAGAGAAACAAAGAAATGCATAAAAACGAGGCGTTAACCAAAAGTCATGACGTCTTGAAGAGAAGAAGAAAAAAAGAAAAAAGAGAAGAAATTAAATCTGCAGAAGTTTGAGAGAGGGTCGCAAAGCAAACAGGGCGGAGCCTACAGGAGCACGGACAAACACAGACACAGGGGGGGGTCACTGAGGCAGCCAGATGTTTGCAGATGCAGGCGGAGCAGACACACACAAACAGAGAAGAGCTTTTTTACTCTTTGGCTTGCTGCAGAAAAACAAACAGTGGTCTTTTTTTTTTCACAGCGACACACAGATTCAGACTCACCTTCTAAAGCATGGTTGCCAAAGCAGTCATGGTTGGCTGCAAGACATCGTTCTGTCAGTCAGTGCAAATGAAAAGTAACATCACGCATCAAGTGGAGGTTCAATCTGGAGCTGCTTCGAGCTGACCGTTCACTAAACCCTGTGTTTCTGTATTTAATGCCTCTCACAGTGTCTGTTGTTTCTATGTGCCTGTGTTCTATGTGATTGTTTTTTGTTGTTTTTTCTTCTCCTAGTTGATCTCACCTGGCTGCAAAACAAATTTCCCCTCGAGGACAATAAAAGTAAAGTTGAAGTTGAAACCCTGACTTTCACTTCACTGCACCGTCCAGGTTTCCTGACATCATCTCGTTATGTTCTGTTTCCGTCTGCAGGCCGACATCAGGGATTCAATTTCCCCTCAACAACTAGAATCCAACCTCGTCCAAGAAACCAACGTACTTGCTTAAATTTTTAGATTTAAAGATGAAAGGACGTGAAGACATCCGGACAAATCATCTCAATGATTGGACTGAGTTTTTTTTCTCATAGTCCACTGCACAGCTCCTACATTGCACCTTTTGTACATTTTGTGTTTTTTATTTTTATTTTTTATATTTAACATTTTTAAATTCTATTTTATATATTGTAATATCTTCTTATTCTGTATTATTTAAGTTGTTGTTAGTTCTGCTTTATTTCCTTGTTAATTGTTTAGCACCAATACACCAAGTCAAATTCCTTTATGTGTAAATGTATTTGGCAATAAACCCAGATTCTGATTCTGATTCTGATTCTGAGAAGCGTCTGTGAGATCAGATCGACAGTGCAGTAAAAAGTAGTGGAGCAGTGTCGGTCAAACAGCGGCCGTTTTCAACAGACTGTTGTCATGGAGACAGGACGGACGTGCAGCACGGGTCTGAAGTTTGCTGAATTTAAAACTTCATGATGCAGATTTATAAAAAGTAAAACTGAAGCAATGTCGTCAACAGGAGAGAGAAAATAACTTTTAGTTTGTTTGTTTATTGAGCGGAGGTCGGATCGATCGTTTGTGATGCATTCAAGGACGTCGGGAAATCTAACAACGATTGTTTTTTTGAAAAACAAAATCAAGCAGATTGTTCGGTGAGTAGAAATGTTTGATCTAGAATGAGATCATCAATACTTCAGATATCTGGTGCAACAGTGAGGTGCTTATTGAGGTTTTTTTTTAAGTGAACGGTCGTTAGCGTGCACTGTGGCATGATCAATCCGTATCAACGAGCAGGAGGCAAAAAAGATGTGTTTTACAAACGTTGTGTTCATGCATGAATATAAAGTTACAAACGACAGGGAGTGTTTCATTCCAAACACACATTCAAAAAAAATAAAAAAATAAAAAACTTCTGCAAACTTCTCACCCCTGCAGAGAGGAAGTGGACCGCTCCAAAACGACGGGTTCCCCAGGATGCACTTTATAGCCACCTCCCCGATGAGCTCGTAACCTTGGTAACAAACGAAGGTGAGCGACTCTGCTGGCAGGTAGAGCCTCTTGGACAGGATCTGGTAGCCGTTGTCAGGGAGACCGGGGTTTTCACAGGAAACAGAATCCTCAGCTAGATGGATGAAGTTAAAAAAAAAAAGGGGGGGGGGGGGTTTGCGTCAGAGCTGGATTGACAGGTTTGACGGGCTGCTGCTGCTGAGGTGACATGACTCATGGATAATCTCCGCCCCCTCCTCCAGGTGGCTGAGGGCTGATTGGTACGCTGCATTAGCTCTGAATTAACATATCAAACACTTTGCATGAACATTAATATCCCTGAAAACACTCTCTCTCACACACACACACACACACACACACACACACACACACACAGACACACACACACACACACACACACACACACACACACACACAGACACACACAGAGACACACACACACACACACACACACACACACACACACACACACACACACACACACACACACACACACACACACACACACACACACACACACACACACACACACACACAGACACACACACACCACACACACACACACACACACACACACAGACACACACAGAGACACACACACACACACACACACACACACACACACACACACACACACACACACACACAACACACACAGACACACACACACACACACACACACACACACACACACACACACAGACACACACACACACACACACACACACACACACACACACACACACACAGACACACACACACACACACACACACACACACACACACACACACACACACACACACACACAGACACACACACACACACACACACACACACACACACACACACACACACACACTGTCAGTCCTGAAAATGAGGCCTCGGCTCTGGCATGCAGAGACGCTGTGATCTGTGTCAGCAGAGAGGAAAGAGAGAGAGAGCCAGGACGCTTTTCTGTGCAAGAAATCACAGAAACCCACTCATGTAACTTCACACAGCTACAGAGAGAGAGAGAGAGAGAGATAGAGAGAGAGAGAGAGAGAGAGAGAGAGAGAGCCCTTCATCTTCACTTAACCACCATGTGTAACCGTCTTTCCTGATGACAGGATCCTGAATTCAAAGTGCTGATAAATCCACCGGTGAACCCGGGACTCTCTCAGCCCCCGAGCTGGATGAAACAAAAACCACCTCCTGTGTTTTTCATACTTCAGCACTCTCTCTCTGATACTCACTGACGCAGTGAGGGAGGCGAGACGTCCACACGGGGGTCCCCGGTTCGCGTCCGTAGCAGGTGATTGTGGCGCCGCCCTGCAGGATGAAGCCGGGGTTGCAGCTGTACTGAATGGTCGTCCCCACTAAGAGTTTGGGGTCGGACAGAGACCGGGTGGAGTGCTCCACGTGGCCGGGGTCTGAACAGTACATGACTGAGAGGAAGAGGAGACACAGTTTGAGGATTATGTGGAGAAAAGCAGGTTTTTTCATTTTTACTTCTTCAAAACACTTTGAGGTGGAAACGACTTAAAGATGGCAAAAGTTTTTAAATTGCTACAGTGGATCACTACGACACACAAAATAAAGCAGAGGGTCCAAATTTAAAGCTCCTGTGAGGAACTTGCTGTTGGTGTCTGAGCTCTTGGAGTTCCCACTTTAGCTCGGACAATTGCTTCTCCATCCTTTAAACTGGCATTTAAAGGGTTAAATTACTGATAATTATTCAATATTTGGTAGTTTTGAGCAGGGCTGAAGTTGTTTAAGAGATTTATGCAGGAAAAAGTAGAAAGAAATATCAATCTGTTCTATTTTTATATCAGTTTTTGTAAATTGGACATTTTCGCCCTCCAATGTCCAAACAGGGAACTACATTTTAAATCTGATGCTACACAAAAACTAACAATGCATCAAAGTCAATATTTTGGATAATCTTTGACATATACAAGATTGATTTAAAAAAAAAAATCCCCCAGCCACCAAATATATGTTATATGGAAAATAACTACAACAGAGACATCATGTAATCAAACTGGCATTTAAAGGGTTAAATTCCTGATAATTATTCAATGTTTGGTAGTTTTGAGCAGGGCTGAAGTTGTTTAAGAGATTTATGCAGAAAGAAATTGAAAAAAATATGAATCTGTTCTATTTTTATATCAGTTTTTTGGAAGTGGACATTTTTTGTCCTTAGGGACTTAAGAGGGGAGTAAATTAAACTGATGCCTGAGGGTTAAAAACTTTGGTTATCATGTGAATTCACAACA